CATGAAGGTCTAGTCAGAGACATATTAGAGGCAGAAACAGGAGTTAGGAGGGGTAGAGGTAGACCTAGATTAGATTACTGTTCGCAAATAGTTTTAGGGAAAGGCGAAGTTTAGCTCAGGATAGGAAAGAGTGGAGGTACGTGTCCAACCAGTCTTAGGACTGATGACCTTATGATGATGACAAAGTTTTTGTGGTAGGTTCTCGGGAGAAGAAGTTAATGATTTTGATAAAATTAGATACAAAACGTTCGAAACGTCGTGTTACAGACGAATGATGATAGGAGAACAGTTAGTTAGACAGACATAATTGAAGTAGAAGTAGACCTAGATTAGATTACAAAAATAGTTAAGGATTTGGGATGTTCTAGTTTTAGGGAAATGCAAAGATAGGAAAGAGTGGAGACGTGCGTGTCCAATCAGTCTTAGGACTGACGATGATGAGATATGAGATCCGATCTTTGTGTATTATAGTTTTTTTAACGGTGAACAACAATATTTACCTTTTCTATGTTGTATTTTTCGATTGCTTGAGTAGCACAATCTACAGCATCTTGTTGCATGTCTTCGCTCATATCAGCGTTTTTGATAACGGCTTTGCGGTCAGTCATTTTGGATCCCTCTTGGTTTTTCGACCTACAATTAATATATTTTTTTTTACGTCCATCATGGATTTTTCGAAAATTTAAGTTTTTTCCCTGGTTAAAATGGTCGAAAATTGGACAATTATTATGAAAAACGGACATGAAAAAATTGGAGGAACAGCCCCCAGGGGAAGGGGGAAGTTTTCCACATCGTAACCTTCCCTTCCCTTTGGGGGAGGCTTCCTATCCAATCTCATAGACGAGAGCCTCTAAATACATTATTTTTACGATTTTTTACGAAAAAAAAAATTAAAACAATCATCCCCCTATTATTTTTAATTAAGTTTTTAATAATTGGTCCATTTTAAGCCATTTCTGAGAGAGAAAAGTTAAGTTTTCGAAAAAGCGCCAATTTACCTACTAAAAAAATTATCGTAAATTCGAACTACAAAACGATTAAAAAATTAGAAAAAAAATAGGGGAAATACCTAGGTACAAACGAAATTCACTAAAATTGAAAACGTAAATATCAATACCTGACGATCAAAAGTAATTTTGAATGAAAATTATACGTATAAAAAACTATAAAATTTTGACGTTTGTTTAAAATAATAAAATTCGAAATATTCAGAGATAACTATGATACTATTTACTTAATGCCTTTATAAAAACACGAGTGTTTCTAAGTGATGTGTAATTAAAATTTTGAAAATTACGATATTGACTGACAGGTCGTGGAACAGAAAAAAAAAAAATAAAAAAATTGTATGCATCAAACAACCTTGTTGTTATAATATTTATATCACGTATTTTAACTGTAGCATGTGCAACAAGCTCTGCCATTTGATAAAAACTGGTACAGCCGAGCTCCCAGCTTTATCAATATTTTCGGAAATTGTTTGCATGCGATATTAATCGGAAATACATTAACCACTCAAACCTCGTCTTATCTATATAGACCCTTTATGAAATTGTGAATGCCCAACTAGGTTATGACGGTGAACATCAGATGTTTGACGAAGTATCTTTAAATTAAACCAATACACAATTTACTTACGTGAAATTTAAAAGAAAACTGCTAAACTCGCAAAAAACTGGGCTACTGACGTGTGTCGGAAAATGTCTTTTTTAAATTTTTTGATTTTGTTGAAAATCCCGACGTTCAACTATTTCACCGCTCCTTCGCAAAGTAAAGAAAATCAAATGATGCCCACTATTTTATTGGGCGTTTTCTGAGTCTTCTGGCAGAGGTTTCTGGCCAAGGATACACCCTCCAGGGCCGTATCCGAATATTTATCAATAATTTCGAACGGACTTTTTTCGGTATTTTTTCAAGCCGGAAAATGCAACTTTTAATTCTTTCGCTTAATTACGTAAAAACAACGAAAACATTAACTGAAGACTTAATTTTCGTTATCAAAGCACACATTTAATTTTGAAAAGTAAATATTTGACATCTTGATTAACTTGATAAATTATGATATTTACGTTAGGGCAATGAAAGCAAGAAAATTAAAACATTCCGTTCATATTTACCCTACTCGATAGGCGCACATGTAGAATAACAAAAAAAACTAATACTAAGTAGCAATTGACGATAGGAAATTAGGCTAAAGCTTTTGGGTTCTAAATAAATAATATATAGCTACAATGAGAAAAATAGGTACTTAATTTTAGTGCATGGATTGGGTAGAAATTGTGTGAAAAATTTTTACCACCGCACAGCTAACTGAATGTTGTCAACAAATTCGGCTGTAACACTCTCAGACATATGTGATCGTGAAGAATTGTGCTAAAAAGCATACAATCAAAAAAGAAGAACAAAAATTATAAATAATATCCATCATGCACACGGCGTACGGGTCATTTTTCATGACGACGATACGATTTAAATTTAATAGATAATTATTTTACTATGCAATCAAAAGAAAGTTGTTTGGAAATTGCAACCATGATGAATATTATTTATTAATAATTAATTAAAACTAAAAGCTCTACGAATAATTTGAATTTATAAAAAATTATACGAAAAAAACGTAACGAATTGTAGGAGGCGTTAGTTTAGTACATTTACATACCTTTTTCGGGTATTAGTAAATTATAAAAAAATGTAGTGTCGCTTTGCAGTTCCAAATCCGTTTGTTTGGTCTTCAAACTTTGTTAAGACACCATTAATTTTAGAGTTTTGGTGTCCGTGCCATTTGTACTACGTGTTAGGTGAAATTTTTAAATCTACAATGCGGTTGTCGCGTGAATCCACATGCAGATGGATCAATACACAAGCTTTTAATCTTTTCTATCAGAAATGTATTTTCGAAATTACGCGGGAATGCCAAATTTATTTTTTTGAACTTTATTTTTATGTCTCCTACTTTATTATATACTTAAGTATTAATAAATAAATAAATAAATAAATAATCAGTGTGCAGGGGTGGTTAACGGACGGAATGAGTCCACGTTTCGGGTTGTGTTTGATAACGACATCTTTTAGTCAGTATTTGTAATAACGCTTGAAATATACTTGAAATATGTTTTGTATTTTTGTTCGAAACAATTTTGTTATTATATAGGTACGTTGTTATACTTGCATATGCGCTTGAATCTTTATAATTTTTTATTGAATATAAAGATTTGTACACTTACAAGTTAGCTTGTTTGTTTTATTTCGTTATTTAAAAGCTTTTGTGGTTAAATAGTGCCCAACAAGCTGAGAATAAGGTACTTGCAGTTTTATGTAGTTCCATCACAATGAGTTATAATAACAATGACTTGGATTTCCCCTGAGGGCTAATTTTTTTACTTAAAACAAGAAGAAAAAGAAAATATTGCATTAGATTTGTATTGAACCCGGGTAGCACAGTAACTACATTTTGAATGATATAATGTATTAAGCGCTTCATTCGTCATTCCCTTCCTTTTGTGATAAGAGTAATACAAAATAACTAAAAACCTCTAACCACATTACAGGTTTTGAACTC